TTGACGGCAACAATGTGTAATTGAACTCCACAGAGAGAGAGACGTATTGTTGAGTCGAGCACGTGAAACGTTCGTTGTGAATTATAGCGTTTATTATAGCGCGACTGTGGAAATTAAGTGTACTGCAAAGTTGTATTCAGAGAGAATAAACTAGTTTTATTTAAAAAGGGACTTGTATCGCTAAAGTTTCTTCGGAAAGAAATTATACGGAAAATTAACTCACGAACGGAGGCGTAACAATATATATATATTTATATTATTTTGAAAACAAGTGAAGTGTGTGCTGTTCATATATCATTGAATTTATCGCTAATAAATCACAGACACCTAATGTAGAGGAATCCTAAGCCCAACAACAACATAGTATATATCTATACTATTAAGAAATGTAAGTAAAAGTCTTTTATGTTGACAGTTGGCGATGAAGAAGAAGATATATTTTAAATTCTGACAGGTTACCATCCAAGGGTCTATGGTTCGTGCCTCTTTGCCATAAATTCGCGTTCTGTACTTTGGGCCCATTAGTGCGTTAAACGAATGACGATAAAATCCCACTATTTGAATTAGAATAGCCCAAGAATTGACAAAGTTCAGTCTTCTTAATGACAATTAGTCCTAACTTTAGAAATAAATAACGTCTCAGTTTATACTTATTTGTTGCATTTCTCGTACCAGAATTGTAGATGATGAAAGGTATAATTGTAATCATTCTTCGCCGGCTTGTAAAAGGCGTACACACCAAAACAATTATTGTTGTATCAAATGGCTCATATAAATAGTGGCCCAACCATTGCTGTGTTTGTTGTATCCCAGCCAGCCTGAAGAGCTCTGCATTGACCAAAATGCGTCGCTGGCAATGGATTTGACAAGTATAATGGGATTGGAATACTATTATTATACACTATTCTAATATAATTTTTGAACATCCATAAGAGACTAAATAAAAGTAAATTAGGAATGTAGTGTTTAAAAATGCAATAGGCCTAATAGTAATGCCTGATGACAAGTATAATTAGGAATTTTACGTATTGTGCTAATGAAATATTTAAAAACTTGGAATTTTGCTTATATTTCTGAGGGTATGATATCAACAATAAAAACATTATATAAAAAACTGGAAGCCACATCCACCATTCAACTTACCACTTTTCACTAAGTTATACTCGTTTCAGAGTATTCCACCCTCATTAGTAACCCTGAAAAGGGTAAATTATTCAGGGTTACTGACGAGGGGTGATATTTCCCGAAATTGATATAACGTCGGTGATAAATGGTAAATTCAATGGACTTTACGTTTATAGATTTATTCAATTTTAAACAGCTTGTCGGCTGAATAATTCACAATAATAAATTAGTAGCATGAAATGCCTATATAACTATAGGATCACTGTGTGACTAAAAGACGTCTCGAAACACCTTTTAAAACTACAGTATGGATGAAATAAGTTAGCTTTAGACTAAGAGCAACATGAAAGAAAGACTAGACCTGATCCTGAACCTTCTCCTTATCTTCTTGGTGACCGACCATATGTTCTGATTTGGATCTCTATCCTGAATAGATCGTTCAGGACATAACAATAGTCGCGGTTTTAACTTACTTTTTTTTCTTTTTGCTAGGTGACTCCAGGTGTGCCCAAAAGTTTAAGTTGTTAAAGAAAACTAGTAATCTACATTTTGGCTATTGCTGTATAAACTAGAAACGAAAAACAGAAAATGTAACCAAAATTAATGTAAAGTGCGATTTTAAATTGTTGTAAACAATAAATGACACCCTGCTGATCTGTTGCAGTGACATCATCAGTCACATGATCACTGAGGGATACGATGTTTTACATTGCCGTCATTTACGTTGAATATTAGACTAATAAGGGTATTAAGCCTAGACTAAGGTAGTGTATTGCGACGCTTGACGGTGTCTCAGTTTAACCACTTGACATTTATGGTCACCTTGCCTGCCTTGTGTTCTGTCAATATCACTACTGCTAATTGAGTTAGTTTGATTTCTGTTGGAACCAGTTATCATTAAATCTGAGCAAGTTACCCGTATAAAACACAAGTTACTCAATAATACTAATAAATTGTCAAGTCGTTTAGAAAAATGTTTGGAAAGTTGCCATTTATTTAAATTTTAACGATTCTCAGAATGGCTTTAGAAAAGGGGTATTCTTGCGTTACCACACAGGACTAGTGTGTTGCAGTTTTTTTGATAAAAACTGCTTTTGTGGTTGAGGACAACCCAGTTAATCTTGCTTAAGAAATACTTTTGAAACTTTTGTGTTAAGAATGGAAATAATGCCATTTTCCTACATGTGAGAGATTTCAACAACCCCATAAACTTTTTTTTGACATTGAATGTATGGTCTAGCTTGAATAGAAGTTCTATTATTATATAACTTATGAAATAAACTACTGCAGTTTCTAGATATTAAGTACTACTACTAGCCACTCTTCCATTATCCATCCATGTTGGTGGATTAAGAACACAGTGAAGTACATTCAGATTAAAATTCACTAATGCTTGTATTATACAAAAGCCCACATAATAAAAAGAGACCGATCCTAAAGTTAATGATATATGAAGCATTGTTTTAGCTAGCATTAGGTGGCCTTTGTTATCAACTGACTTAGTTTACCCAAATGAAGTACATTTGCTCATTTTGACTGTCTATATCAAGAAATTAATTAAGCCCAAAACTTAAAAAAAAAGAAAAAACAATTAATTAAATCGTTTTAAAATTAAGTTCATTAAACATGTGAAATGGTAAAATGTTTTATGGTTAACACATGTATCTGTGTGTTTATTTAATTATTATAATTTGTAAGTAATTGGCCCTATTTACATGCATATGAATGATATCTATAACTTAGTATAAGATATTATATACAATTTTTAAAACTTTTTTTTAAGAACACATATTAAAAACTTCTTTATATATTTGATGAATAGTCAAAGTAATTTTAATTTTTATGTAAACTTAATTCTTGAACTTGGTATAAGTAGTTTTATTTACTTATTTTAAACCAGAAAGCACACCCTAAGCATTCATGTAACAATCTAATTTAGACTGTTTGCTAAACAATCAGATAAGTTTTACTTTCATGTGTACTTGTTTTTGGTTTATCTACATGTACTTTCTTACTAAGCAAAAACTCGCACATAGCCATGACCTCTATATTTACATGTACTTTATAATTACCTTCTAAAAAACAAGCCTAATGCTTCCAAAAACACCAAATATAAGCTATAAATTGCTATATCTTGGGTAGTATTGAGCTTGTCAGTTTCAGAATGAAATTGTTGGCATTAGACCAACCCTGAAGGAGGGGGGGAGAGAATGTCATTCATTTTAAACTAAAAATAAACTACCTCAGTTGGCCGTTGTTTATCATGCATAACAAAAAAGTGTGAAGTTATCCTCTTTATCAGGTGGTGTGTGAAAGATGAACATTCAAAAGTAGAAACATTGGCTCCTTCGAAAGGTGTTGTGGGTTTCTGAGCTCCATACTAGCATATGACTCAACATATAAGTTTGTTGCTGAAATTCTCTGACTCCAGAAGTTCATGCTTGTAAAAGTACTGTACAACTCATAATATCTGTTTGCTCTGAATCATTCCATTTATTCAGTTTCCAGTTACAAGAGCAGCATAGAAGCACATCAAAAGCCAGATTATTTGAGGCAGTGATCTTGTTAAGTTGTAAGTTTTGAAAATATTTTACCTATTTATTGTACAGAGAGAAGACCAAAAAACAAAAGATTGTACTAAACTTCTGTAGTTAAAGGTAATTAGAAAACTATGCTGAAACTGTATAAAAATATTAGAAAACAGTATGCTGAGACTGTAGAGATTGAATATTAGAAAATATTATGTTGAGACTGTGTAAAGACTGAACATTAGAAAACAGTATGCTGAGACTGTGTAAAGATTGAATATTATAAAATAGTATACTGAGACTGTGTAAAGATTGATTATTATAAAATAGTATGCTGAGACTGTGTACAGATTGATTATTATAAAATAGTATGCTGAGACTGTGTAAAGACAGAATATTATAAAATAGTATGCTGAGACTGTGTAAAGATTGAATATTATAAAATAGTATGCTGAAACTGTGTAAAGACTGAACATTAGAAAACAGTATGCTGAGACTGTGTAAAGATTGAATATTATAAAATAGTATACTGAGACTGTGTAAAGACAGAATATTAGAAAATAGTATGCTGAGACTGTGTAAAGACTGAACATTAGAAAATAGTATACTGAGACTGTGTAATGATTGAACATTAGAAAACAGTATACTGAGACTGTGTACAGATTGAATATTATAAAACAGTATGCTGAGACTGTGTAAAAATTGAATATTATAAAACAGTATGCTGAGACTGTGTAAAGACAGAATATTATAAAATAGTATGCTGAGACTTTGTAATGATTGAATATTATAAAACAGTATGCTGAGACTGTGTAAAGATTGAATATTATAAAATAGTATGCTGAGACTGTGTAGATTTGAATTCTACAAAACAGTATGCCAAGACTCTTAAGTTTGAATATTAGAAAACAGTAAAGTGTGAATATTTGAAACCAGTTTCAGAGGCTTTATGCATGTAGAGTTTTAATATTATGGAATCTGGTGAAATGTACTGGTTCTTGTGAAGTTTACAGATATTAATGTATCTAAACTGAGCAACTCGCAAAATGTTCCACTGTATGACGTACATAACTCAAGTAATTAAGAAATACATATTGTTGCCTATTATTAGTAACATGGAATTACAGTGAGTATAGTTCTATCCTTGTGCTTGTTGCATCTCTTAAAGTTTTGCAGTGCCTAATATTGTCATATATAAGTACAATATATGGATGTAGATGTTTTATGACTACATTATCTGGGAACATTTATGTGAAATAGTTAATAGTTTTCACTGTTACATATTGCACAATTATATTTATCTCTGATAGTATGTATAAATCTAATAGGACCATTGTCTTTGAATCTGTGTTTTCAAGATACATTTTTAATGCATATTTACTGCTTTGGGTATATACTGAAGCTTATGAATGAAAAAGTTAAAACCAAAGAAAATATATTTTACAAGATTTATAGAGCCTAACGCATGTTTAGGTAATAAAAATCTTGGTGCTAATATATTATATACACAAACACCACACTTAGTTAAAAACACATTTTAATAAGTATAAAATTTGGGGTAGTTTTGAATGTAAAGAAGGTATTTTTCTTCTTTTCAGCAATGTCGTTTCCTAACAAAGAGCAACGTCAGCGATGTTGGAATTCCAGGGATAGGTACTGGGAATGTTTGGATAAGAATAACGATGATGCAAGTAAATGTAAAGTTTACAGAAACATGTATGAAACAGAATGCCCAAGCCAGTGGGTAAGTGAGAAGACTTGTTGACTTCTATTTACACATTTCTGGACTCCAAAGATAGGCATTTCAGTGTTACTTATCGAAATAAAAAATTATGTAATAAGCTTATCATTGTGGTGTAACATACACTTACCATAATTCACAGTATTTAAACATGATTATTCTTGTGGTCAAGCACTAGGTACATTCCTTCAATACAGGCTAGGGCATAATGACATACCAACCTGAAATATTATCCAAATTGAATATTTTACTTCTAAAAGCATATAAATGCAACTCTCACAAGTTCCCCCTGCTGCTGCAAAGTAACCCTATATCAGTCTATAGTTTATAAGTAGTGAACAATGATTCCCTACTATCTGTGAATACACAAAATATGAGAAACTTGCTCAGGACTTGGATCTATTATCTACAGAAGTAACATACCCAGATATTGTCCAAACCAGACAATATTTTAGGTAGGTACATAATTAAACCTCATCCTGAATTATAGAGGAAGGGAGACCATCAAATTGTGTTTTACTTTTACACAAATGGTTAGTTGTAAAGTAAAATTAAAATATCAATGCATTGTCAACTTGTGTAAGTTAATGTCAACCACATTGTAGGTTAGGAAAGTTACTAAAAAATATATATTAAGTAAATAAAAGCCTACAAAAACGTTTGTAGAATGAAATAAAGCAGCATTAAGTTAGATGTACCCATTTTATATTTTTTTCGCTTGGTGAAACATAATGATTAGAGAGGTGTTAAGCTTCTGCAAATACCATTCACTTGAATCGTAATGGAAAATGTGTTAAAACGCATCTTGAATGTTCATCAAGGTTTTGAGGATCATTACATTCAGAAAATTAGGTGCTGGAGAATGGAGGGAAACAATGAAGTTTTTTTAACTTGTTCGATCAATTGAATAGGCTCACACGTGTGGCTCTAAGATATGATCTAGAAGGTTGCAATTTCTCATGAATGAATGGATAACGTTTATTATTATTTCCCCAATGTTATTTTCCTGTATGCACATATAGTGTTAGCTGCAGAGCTTGCATATTTATGCATCAGGATTGGAATTGGTAATCTAGCTCTTCTGAGAGAATGGATATTCAAGATTTTTATGCCATAGTGTTATGACAACGAATGTTATATCTCAACTCTTTAAACATGTTGAAAAAGCTTATAGTTGGTAAAATTATCTTGACACCAAGCCAATGCAGTGAGCTGTACATTACACAGTGTTCAAATATTTCTGTATTTAAAATGGGAGCAAGCCATCCTCCAAACCCCCACCAAGATGTATCCTTTAAACTTTTCATTTGAGATTGCATTAATCTATTATGGACCTACAAATTTGTTTATTTTATTCAGTTTTGATTTATAATTTATATTGCAATAATCTGTCATTTGGACCTTCAGAATACTGGATGGTCATTGTTTATAACACCTAATGTTTTGATAGTAGAAGGAAATGTTTACGTTGATACAATCGCTCATGCGCAATGATTCAGCAGTGTATCACTAGAAGGAACTGAAAATTATGATAACAATATGATGATAATTTATTTCTTCACCCCTCCCCCCAAAAAAAAGAAAATTTAATCTCAGGTATAACATTGAATTCATAGTAAACAGTATTCAGCCATAGGCTTTATAAACTAATAAGAAAACAGTAGTCACTATGGCCAACTGTAATACTTGACATATGTAAGACATAATTCTAATTTACAACATGCACATTTTTCACAGCCATAATCAACAGTGTTTGGTTGATTTCAAGGTATAAAATGCCAATATCATTTCTCACTCAACATTTTCAATTAAAGCCTTATATGTTCTCGATGGTTTGAGAGCTTAACAAAGTTTATCAAGATTCAAAAATGTACACAGCTTAACAAAGTATATCAAAAGTTAAAAATGTACACACCAATTTGGACAGCTATGCCAGAAATATTGGTGCAAATTTGTAATTTAGAGATAAATTCTATTACATTTGCTTAAAAGCTATCACAGCATGACTAACAAATGCTTTCTAACCACAGGGGGAAAATATGCCCAGTAATATTCTGTTTTTGAGCAAATACCTAATCTTCTGTAGCAAAGAGCGACTTTCTGACCACTTGACACACCCATACACCTCATGTACGAGCTAGAACTGAACTCCAGAAATGTTTGGTGAGTTTTACAAAATTCTTTCAAACCACTCGTTTTTAAATTATATGTATTTCTCATAATTATTATTATTATTTTTAATCAAAATTTAAACCACAAACTTTTTGTCTTCTATAAATAATTTATTCAAGTATATTGGTCATATTGTGGCTGAAAAATGTTTGAAATTACTATATACTTACTAAGTAGTATATAGGGTTTCCTTGAATGATTTGAACGTACTGTTTAGTATTACCTAGTAATTCATATATAACAGTTTATTGCTGATGTTTCAGCCTGGTGTGGCCTAGTGTTAGGGTGCTCGACTCGCAATCTGCGAGTCGCGGGTACAAATCCCCATCACAGAATATGCTCTTTATAATGTTACGATCAATTTCACTATTCGTTGGGAAAAGAGCAGCCTAAGAGTTGGCAGCAGATGTTGTTGACTAGTCCATCACTGGTAAATTAGGAACAGCAATCGCAGATAGCCCTAGATTAGCTTCAGGCGAAATTCAAATGAAGCCAAACTACTGGTGTTTCAACTTGCACAAATGAGCATTCAGATCAAAAAGAATTTTGTAATTAACTAAAGAGATTCACAAATAATTGTAAACATATTAAACATATCCAACACTAAATTCTCAAAATAAACACTTTTATACCCCAATTTTCCTGGCTGAGATTTCTAACCTTCAAAATCAACAACAAACAAATGATAACCTTCTGGCAAATTAGATAACAAAACCAATCACTAAAACAGAAGTAATCATCTCCATTAAAAATACGAAAAACAAAGCACCAAGCGAAGATAACATACAAGCTATTCTCTTTAAAAAAAAAGGCACTCATAAATTGTTTGATCATTTAACAGCATTATTTAACCTATCCCTAAATTCAGTTTATATCCCAGTCTCTTGGAAGCAAGCAAATGTTCTTATTTTTCTAAAAGAAGGTAAACTAGAGAGGTATAGACCAATCAGTTTAGCCTGGCATGGCTAGGTGATTAGGGCACTTGACAAAATTCAAAAAGAATAATTAGTTATAGACTTTCAACACTCTTAGAGATAGCATCAAAATTACCTGAAGTGCAAAACGGTTTCAGAAAATTTTGGCAAACTAGGAATAATCTAGATATAATAACTGAAACCATGATAGGTAGCAAATGTACTTTTACCTGCTTTCTCAATATAGAGAACACAATCGACACTGTATGACATAATGGACTTCGGTACAAATTGAAGCAAATGGAATTACTGACAGGTGTTATTTGCTGGATATAAAACTTCTTAGATAAAAGGAAATGTAGAGTGAATGTGGAGGGCACCTATTCAGAGTATTTTGCTCCTGAGGCAGGTAGCTAGCCCTATCCTTTTTGTCATTTATGTAAGCGATATGCTGTTAATAGACTCAAAATTTTACTTAATATCTCAATTTGCAGATGATATAGCAATTTGGAAGAGTTCCACAATTTCCTTAGTAGCAGCAACAATTTTACAACCAGTTCTAAATTGAATAGTATGCTGTTAATAGACTCAAAATTTTACTTAATATCTCAATTTGCAGATGATATAGCAATTTGGAAGAGTTCCACAATTTCCTCAGTAGCAGCAACAATTTTACAACCAGTTCTAAATTGAATAGTACGAAATTGTCAAATGAACAGAATTAAAATAGGAGAACCAAAAACAAATATGTTATTATTTTCAAAAAAGATAAAAATATGAAAAAGAAATTGAATTATACCTAAATGGAACTTTTAAGTACCACTACATCATCAAAATTTCTTGGTCTACCTTAATGAATTGAAATTATTATGGAAAAATCATACAAACCAAATTATAAATAAAGAATAGCAGTGATCAAACTATGCTAGGAGACTGTCATGTAAAAATAATGGTACATCACCAGAAATAACAAAATTTATAAGTTGCATATAAGCCCAGTAATAGAATATGCAATTCCAGCATGGATAAATATAGCACCAACAAATTTAACTAAATTACAAACAATACAAAATTGAGTAATTATCAAAGCTTTCAGAGGTCCCAGATAAAAAAATTCTGATTTCATACACAAATATGCAAATATACAAACAATCTGTGCCAGGCTCCTAGATTGCTCGTTCAATTATTTTAATAACAATATGTTTTAGGATGATTTACTTCTATAGATCGTTGTATCATTCATGATGATGATGATAGTACTAAGTATCTCTCACCACTCAATATGTACATTAATATGTGTATTTAAAAGAGTTTATCGTCTGTCAACTTCGGGCTTCATAATATGATCGAGTGAAAAAGTGACTATTTGTTCATGGAACTGTTTGCTAGTTTTTTCTTAAATGACCAAATGTAGTGATATGATAAAGTAGTACTAACTACTATAGTATTATATTAATGAACATGGCCTGAAAAGAGGGAGGATAGAATAAGTGTACATTTTTATGTATGCTAATTTCATAAATATTAAATACATTTGACAGTTTACATCAAAAAACAGTCAAGGATGGAGGAAGATTTCTGAAATGTGCCTGATCCTACCAGGTTGCACACCATGACACGACCAGATCACAATCCAGATCTAATGCTTCAACTTACACAAATATACAGACAATAAACGACAGGCTCTTACATAGCTCAAATAATTATTTTAAGAAAAATCTAAATAAGAACGAGTTACTGACTCCACTGTCTTACTATATCGTACATAACAAAAATATGCCTGTACACACCAAGTGAAGGAATGTTTATTCCTATACAAAATGCTACACGTGGTGTATGAATGGACATGGCTTTGAAAGGGGTTGTTGTAACTAAAGACTGTAAATGGTGCACAACCCTCACATGTAGTTCGTTTAG